AGTCCCCAAGCGAATTTGGTAAGCATATGTCCTGAGCAAGTGGTCAGCTTGTCACAGGACCCCCCAGTATTTAGTCCCCAAGCGAACGTGGTGCTCATTTTATCGACCCAAGTAATGGAAATCAAGGGATGAACGGCTGAGTCGACCTTGCTCAGCCCGGGAATCGAACCCTGGATATGTGGTGCTGATGCGCAATGCGCTTTAATTGTATATGGATATAATAATTATGTTCATATACAATTCAATTAAAAGATTTTGTACCGAAGCACATCAACCTCATGTTAAATTCTTTAATGAAAAAGGTTCGCCAGTTTCACTGCTTAATAGTGCACTATTCTCATCAACAAGACATATAGAGACTAATAGGCATTTCGAAGCCAGGAAATATGGAAAATCAACTATGCACTAGCCGATATTCGAACCACGGATCTTGCAAACTTTACGCCACAACAACACAGAATGGAATGTGATATGCCACTGTATCCCCCTACTTGAAATAAGACTGACGGTAAGGACAAAATCCATTCAAACGAGTTCAGTTGGCGATGCAGTAGCGTCCACCGCATTTTAGTTAGGGACCTACTGTAGAAATCAATAGGCTAATTTTGCACAGGAAGCGCGTAAAATCAGCTACATTCTGACAGGGATATTAACCAAGCTGCCTGAAACGACCTATATCACAGGAGAATCTGCGAATTTTGTCCGAAGAAACTTTCAAACTCATATTCGTTTGTCAGACTGTCATTTCAAGACACGCGGCTCTATCCTAGAAGGCGAGTGGACAACCGCAACTTCGGTTTTCAGTTTTAAAAATCAATTTCCTCGTTGTAACCTTCCTCTATTCGCATTAATTTATACTGAAGATCTTCATGATGCATAGTAATCGAGAAAAGATTTTTGTCGTAAATATTTAATAATAAAACAATATCATAAACAGCAGTTTGAAACAACATTATAGAGTAAAAAATTGTTTTCCAGACGGGAAGTTGTCGTCCACCGGTAAGTGTTGAAGAAATGTAGGTTGGCACTGAAAAACAAGTGGATAATAAGAACACGCTTTAACAATTTGGTTGCATAAAAGCATTTGAAACAAATATTTGGCCATCCGCTTGATTGCGTAAATATTTACACACATGTTTTTATAAGAATATTACGAAATCATGTTAGTCAATTATTATAGAGATAATCAAAGTTGGATGTAGTTTCATTTTTCTGTTCCAAAGAATTGATTAATAATCACTCTAATATTCTAAAAATATAACAACAAATGTGATATCCAGAAAACTGAAGTAGCATTTTCTTTCAATATGCACCATTGCGTGCTCTTTAGTAGTAATATGTGTAGGGATTATCAAGTCCCTATGAATGCTGCTTAAAGCTGTTTAAATCTTTTTCAGTCTGTGCTGTTGCCAACAGATTATTTTCAAAAGATATCTAATACATCATTGTTGCAAGAAGAAGGAAGCGTTATAAATTCGAAGGCGATATTGAAGACAAAAATGGAAAGTAGACGACGAAAAAAAGGTTGAAGAACTATGGGTTTAACTCACGCTTCAAAGAAGAGTTTACGATTACAGACATAAAACAATTTTTCAAAAAATTTTAAAATGTTAAATTTTTATAAACATGTAAATATATATTCTGTAGCAGTTATTTAACATATGAGATTAGATAGAACTTTTACGAGTTTTACAAAGTTCCAAATTATAAAAAAAAACTATGAGTTTGATGTAGTATAAATTAGATGCATTTTAATTTACATCATTTAGAGATATTATTAAAATAAATAAAATAAAGGTTTAAATTATTAAAAATTGTGTTTATTGCTTTTAAATCTTTCTGTTTATGAATCAATAATAAACTGATTAAATCTGAAATGTAAATTAAAGATTGTTTGACGGAATGGCAATTGTCTGATAATCGGCTTTCCGCGCAGGCGCATGGAAAGTAAGTTAATATCTCCTGTTTCGCATTAGTGAAAAGCAGATATTCCATCTACTACATAACCTCAACAAGAAGAACGGAAAGAAACATTTCCGGGAATTTTCGTTTTAGGTTTAACTGATTGGTTTTTTTCACGTGAAAACGAGTTCTTTGGGAAAAACCTACACGTTGCAGAGCTTTAAGGAAAACGATTTCAAGACTGCGTAGTTAGTCGAGATGTCACTTCTAGCCAGGAGCCATTTCGTTTTTCGGAAAAATTTGCACTTGTTTCATGCGTCTTTAAATAGGATAACTCCTTAACACTTGCTAAGGCGAGCTGATGATAATTAATATTTCTAGATTCTTTCCGTTCTTCCTGGTCAGGTTCCGAAGCACGATCCACGCGCATAATTTTATACTCTAATTGAATATATCTCTTTCGAGATGTAACCAAACTTTAAAAATTCTTCCATGATCGTATTTAACCATTGTTGCCTAATTTACATCAATTCTTGTTTTGCATTATAACAACCCTACTACAACTGTACTTACTATTATCCCATCGATCCCGGTTTTACATCATCTAAATATCGAAAAGCTTTTCTGTAAAGATTAATTATTAAAAGGATGAGAATTAATATAAACGTCTATGAGAAAAATCTGATATCTGTCATTAAGATGAGAATATTTATTTATGTATTTATTTAATTTAGTTGATATCATTTCTAGTGTCCTGCATTAAAAACCTGCTCAACATCCGCACAGTTCTTGATTCGTGCTTTGATACAGCATGAAAACGACTTTATTTCAATTCAGCTCTGTTGATGATATATTCCCACAAAGTTATTTCAAACGATCCCCTATTTGCTGCACCTGATAATCTCTCCTTTTCGCCTATTATTCAAGAGATAGAGTTGCAAACAGCCTCTTTCCCACCCTCAATAATATTCTGAAGGGTTCAGGAAACCCCTGCTGAGGCAAAAGCGGCTGCAGAACCCAGCAGAAAGGTTTTGCTGCATTAATACAGACATCCCCAGCAACTGGGGGTTTGTGACTTTTTTGGTGAAATAATGGTCGTTAAATAGTAATGAACTAGCTGATATCATTACAGATAGTGTGATGGAACATCGCTATTATTGCAGGAAGTGATCACGTTCCATATTCAAATATGTTATCCACACCTAGCACCTCCTTTTTTAATAAGCTGCTCTATAAGTTGATATTCGATGAAAAAAAGTGATGTTTTACTTTTCGTTTTTTCTTTCAGTGTATTTATTAACAATGTGGCAGAACTACAGTTATGTGAATTGCTTCTTATTTTAGATCAAATAAAATTAATCTTTTTATTAATTTATTTTCGTGTTTTTTATTTATTTTTCCCACTGATTTAAATAATATAAAATGGAAAACAATAAAATATATACACTAATGTTTGTAAAAATTGCGACACCATGAAGGAATTACGCAATAGAACCAAACTCACAAGAAATGTAAAATGAGGTAAGACATGCGAATAATTAAAATTATAAAGTGATTGCGCATGCATGGAATGAGAACCGGCCGCTTGTTCCATGTACATAAAGGACTGTAAAGCTACGCTGAAATCTGTTTATCTTTTTCTGTCTGCGCTAAACGTTTAATTAGTGGTCAGTATGCTTCGTCAACATTGGATAGTGCCATACCAATAACTAGCCGAGTTGAAACGAGGCCGCATCTTTAGTATGCGAGAGGCCGCATCTTTAGTATGCAATCGCTGCCTGTACGCAGCCTAATGCCACAACTGTGATGAGTGTTTGGAAGAAATGGATAGAGGAGAATAAAACAAGACGAAATCCTGGCAGTGGGGCATGCAATAGCACAACGGCACGGAACGACAAACATCTCATCCACATAGCTGTGACGGATCATACAGCGTTCTCTCGTATGTTAGCATAACAGTTGGAGCATGGTTACAGGTGCTGCCGCTGTTCTTCGCCTCTACGCAGGATTCCCCTGTCGCTGAATCACAGATGCCTCCGACTTCAATGGGCAAGGCAGCACAGTGTGTAGCGTCCCCTGTGACAACAAGTTGTTTTCTGCGATGAATCTCGATACAATTTGGAATACAATGATGGAAGAGTATGCGTCCGACATTATAGAGGAGAACGTCTGCTGCCACAGTGTGTTTTCCAGTTTCATACTGCACAAACGCCTGGCATCATGGTGTAGGGAGCTATCTGGTGGATGCCATCTGGTGCAGATTGTGAGCAACCTCAACAATGATCACTATATAAGTTAAGTTGTAGAACCAAAAGTCCTCCCCATTCTTCAAGGCATTCTGGGCGCTGTATTTCAGCAGGATAATGCCCGTGTGTCTGTTTCTCAGACTCCACAAGCCTTCTTTACTGCACAGGTACAGGTGCAGGTACAGGTAGAAGCTAGGCCAGCACCTCCGTAGTACCACAGGTAATTGAGGTATTGCTGAACCTAGCTAACTGTTAAGCTTTCCACCCCAATTGTGAGGGAGAACACCCTGAGGGGTGGTCCGAGGTTCTCCCGCCCCTCTTTTTTTACCATCAACCACTTAAGAGGACTTTCTGAGATAAATGAGTTCTGGTATTAATAGTGTACACAAATCATATTAATAAAAGACTGTCCTTGAAAAGTTCAACAACTGATGCTACCAAAAGCAGAAATGTAAGAATAAATGTCTTTTCTAAGGCGGAAGGTGTAATAAGCAAGTCTTTGGAGCTCCCGTCCATCAGCATTGCGTAGATAAATGAAACTGTTGGAACATTAAAATGAAATGAAATAAAAAAATAATAAATAATAAATTTAAAAAAATTTTAATAAATAATGAAAAATAAAAAGATAAAAATATATAAATAAAATAAAATAAAATAAAAAAGACAAATATGGTATAGTAACATATGGGATGAATAAGCTTTAGATATGACAAATATCCAGTCCGAGTCTTTGGATATGTATAAGAACGTCTCTGATTTTGGTCCTAAGATGTCTGTTCTTTATTGCATATTTCTTAAATGGTATTAGATTGTTGTTAGGCTTGATCAGATGTTTGCCGTCTGTTAGATTACAGTCAAAAATGTAATGATCAGGGTCACCCCTTTCGCCACATATGCAGAGATCCGTAAGGCACATGCCTCTGTCATGGAAGTAGGTGGGGAAAGGACCGTGCCCTGTGATATACTGATTCAGAACATGGTCATTGTGTAGGGCCTCTTTGTCAGTTTTTGAGAAAAATTTGTGGACTCTTCTACCTTGTAATGCAGAATCCCACTCTTCTTGCCACTTTGAGTCGACAATTGCATTTAGTGTAAATTTTAAATGGGACTTGAGCCACGGGACATGAATTACCTCACTGTTGATGTTAGTCGTTGCATCCTTTGCAAGGAGGTCAGCTGCCTCGTTGCAGTCGTTTCCGTTGTGGGCTTTCACCCAATTGAGGATAAACTGGATTTCTGGGTGGGCACTTATAATATTTTGAATATCCTGAACCAGTTGGTTCTTATTGTTTCTGTCCTTCAGGGCGTATAATGCAGATTGACTGTCTGAATAGATAGCTATTGTCCTGAAATTATTTGATATAGCTTTATTTACTGCAGATTGAATTGCTGACAGGTCGTTTTGATAAATGGAATTTTCTGGAGATAATTTTCCTTGCCATACTGTTGGAATAGAGGAAGAAGAATAGATTATTGATGCTGCGCCCACTTCTCCATGAATTTTAGAGCCGTCTGTAAATGCTCTTGGACATTCTTTACTACTGATTGCTGAAGCGTCCGTATTGATAATTAAATTACAATACTTTGCAGGATGGTAGGTCAATGGTATGGCTGGAGACTCATACTTTGAGGCAGAAAAGGTGGTGCCGTTCAGGTAAGCATCTTCTTTCAACTGGAGTACTCTGGCTTTTATTGAATCCTTCGTCGCAATTAAATGAAGGGAGGAATCCCAGTAAGAACGCATAGAGAGGAATTAGCTGTCGTTCTATAGGCTTTGCAAATGATCAGGAGAAAAGGTCTCTGAATGGCGAAAAGTTTCCTTTTCTTCCTTTCTGTCATAGTCTCCGCCCAGATTGCAGCCCCATAATTCACTATACTTGAAATTACTGTTAAAAATAAAAAATTTTTGAATATGAGGACGAAGTCCCCAGCTACTACCTTGCATTTTCCTGAAACTATAAGCGATTTGATTTGTCTTTTTCTGAGTCTCCGTGAGATGGTACATAAAATTAAGTTGGTTATCTATGTGGATTCCCAGAAACTTCAGGACTTGAGTAATCTTAATTTTCTTTCCGTCCAGGTTGAAGGTGGGCTTTCTTAAGAGCTTTTGGCCTGGCTTGTTAAAAAGTATTGCCTTGGACTTCACTTGCGAAATGAAGAGTTTCAACCTCTGGCATTCTATGTTAAGCTGTTTGAGAGAACCGTTCACATTCCTTTCGAGGATGTCTCTAGTTTTACCACTAACAACCAACGCAGTGTCATCCGCAAACGCGAAGATCTTCGTATGATCGGGAAATTCATATTTTAAGACGTCATTAAAGGTGAGGGCCCAGAAATCAGCACTCAAGCAAGATCCTTGGGGACATCCTCTAGTAAATTTTTTGCTGGTTATCATGTTGTTATGAATGAATATGCTTTCTCTATTATGAAAGTAATGAATGAGAATATTGAGAAGATTAGATGGACAGTTGGCTTTATTAAGTGCATGTAATACTGAAGGCCACCACATTGAGTCGAAAGCACTTTTTAAATCAACACAAATAAGTGCACTATATTCACCTTTTGATTTATGATGTTGGATTTGCTTCAGTATTTTATCAATTGCAGGAATAGTGCTTGAGTTGGCTTTGAATCCGTATTGGTGTTTACTGATTGTTTGATTTTTGATAAAGTGATATCTCAACCGCCTGGCAATAAGTCTTTCTAGAACTTTTCCTATGGCGGGCAGCAAATTTATAGGCCGAAATGCAGAAGGATCTTCGGGGTTCCTATCCTTCTTCTCGAAAAGTATAATTTGTCCTTTCTTCATGTTATCGGGAAAGGTCGACAATTCTAAGCATTTATTGAAGAAATTAAGAGGGATTTTTGGATCATGATTGTGCATATTTTTTATAATTTTGTTGTTTATAGAGTCGGGGCCCGGGGCTTTCTTATTGTTGAGGTGCTTGATAATATTATTAATTTCTTGTAGAGTGAAGGGGGAGTCTTTTGAGCCATTCTGTGAGAAATTGGTCTAATCTCTCTCTGTTCGGGTGTGTCATCTTCTGAATTGTCATCCATGAACTTCTTTACTGCACAACAGGTTTCACTTCTTCTATGACCCGCTTTTTCTCCGGATATGTCGTCCGTTGAGCGCGTCCAGGATTTCATCGGTCAACGACTCGCTCTACAGCTGGTGCGGCACACACTAAGCCTGAACTTTGGCATCAAGTCGAAGCCATATGGGATGCCATTCTTCAGGATTACATTCAGAACCTGCATGATTCAATGCCACGACGCTTTCATTGCTTATCGTAGGGGACACATAAAGTACTGATTTTCGACGATCGCTTTGTTTTTCTATCTCGTAAATTTAATCGTTTACTTGTACCGATTACTTGTACCACATATTATCGAAATTTAATCGATAATATGTGGAATTTTTTTTTTTTTTTTTTCATTTCCAGCAATTCCTTATAAAATCTCACTTTCTTTGGTAACATAAACTCATAAGCTCTAGAAAGACCAAAGAGGAATAATGTCTTGAACCTTAGAAAGACAAAGTCAGAAGAAAGGTGTAAATAACTCTTTTATTTAAACACAAAGAAGTAACACAATAATGACCCAACTTGGGTTTACGCAAGCCAACACTTCTGACTTAACTTAAACAAGTAATGTTGAACTAAAATCAAAAGGAGTTAAATACGCCTAACGGTTTACAGGATAAAGTAACGCGCAGGAAGGCTCTGGTTTTTAGAAACACCGAGACAATGCTAATGACTAGTAGCACTCAGCGCTGCAGAATCAAATCGCTATTTAGTCGAGGTTATGAACGTGACCTCAAGTAGGCAGAATACGCGTTAAAATCAACTAGCGAAACCTTCGCTCAAGTAGTACTTCTTTCTCCCTCAATCTGAATAAACGCGCGCTAACTCATTTATATTCTGGGATGAAAAAAGTAGGGAAAATGGAAAGCGACTGGAAAGTTACTTTAACTCAAAATTAACTATTAGTTAAAAATAAATAGCTAAATCCTCACATCTTTCATGGGGGCTACATTTCTTACAAACAGTAGTATATTTATAAATATGCTAAAAAATTAATTTAGTACAATACGTAAATGGAGGTCCAATGAGGACCCGTTGATATAACATGTAAATATTAATTGTAAAGCACTGACGCATTGAATATATGTCTTCCGATTTTGTTTTCTAGTTTTTAACGCTTTTGTTTCATTGTTCTTGTTAAAGTTTATATAGAAATAGTCTGCCTTTATATTTATATCAGTGAAAAGCAATTTCATTCCTCAAATTCTGTAAAAGATGTATTTCATATTTTGATTTATGATAATAAAAGTACTTTATAATTACGTTACTAAAAGAACCTGCTAGTATACTTTTTGTTGAAATCAAATGCTCTAAAACAAAATTCAAAATCAGTCACTTGCTTTACAATTAAACACATATTTAGGCTGTCGGGAGCAAAACAAAAACAAACAAACAAAAAAAGTATTTCCTTCTATTTAACTTCGAAAAAGACTTTTTCGATTCATTATAACTTTCAGTTTTGATAAAATTATAAAATTACGTCTACGAGTTACAGAAATTGTTTCCAGCCGAAGATAGATATCTTTTTTTCATCATCAACTTTGTAATAAGACTTTGTGCGATGCAACCCACAAGTTTTGAACAGTTATTTTTTTGCAGCATTCTCAACAATTTCTGAACAACATTTTGCAACAAGCGTTATTTTTTTAACTATGAATGGCATAAACGAAATAAGTTTCTAAGAGCCTGTAAGGATTATGATTGTAACCAAGTGTGGCAAAACTTTGAGTAAATGTGTAAGCGACTTATCCCTAAGATGAAACAGAACATAAGAAGGGTGTAAAAGACCCTTTTATATAAAACTAAGAAGTTGAATATAAAACACCTCTGATGCTTACAAATAAGTCAGCATTTATGGCGCGAACTCAGAAGCAAAACATTAAATTAAAACTAAATCTAAGTATTTATTAGCTAAAGGTAACGCAGAGATATTTAAACGAGGAAATTGGCTCTTAAGCCTACGCCGCCATGATAACACTATCGGCAAGAGTAAAGCAACGCCGTACACAGGAATGCTTGTTCTTAGGATTAACAACTAGTAACGTGGCCTTCAACAAGAAACAGTAACAAACTCTCACAAGCTAGCTAATTTGCACTCTGGTAGGAAAACAGGAAGAGAGAAGTAACAGTGCAGATTCGGAATATAAAATAACTGGCTAATTAACATAAATAAACCTTACAAACATATAAAAAAAGGTCAATTATAAAATTTCTACAACGTGTTCGTTATCACCTACATAACAAGTGAAATCGAAAATGATTATGATAAAAATTCGTAATGATGAAGATTTCAATCGGATATACTTTTAATGCTTCAGTTTTTAATTATTTGTTTGTTTTCACCATTTTACATGAAAGAAGGGGGAAAAAAGGAAAATTAAAGAAAAGAAAGGAAGAAAAATACAGAAGTAAACGTCGGAAATCTTAAAATATGAATTATTGTTTAGGTGAATTTTAATTTTATTCAATCATAAAAACTTAGTTTTAAGTGATGGCAACAAACAATGTCATTTCTATTTAAAAAGAGAAGAAAAATACTAGCCAGTTTTTTCATTTTCTTAAACTGCTTTATACTTTTAAAGTTTTTTAAATTTTTTAATGGTAAAATCTTGAAGTGTTAAAATCAAAAATCTTCAGATAACAATTTTTTAATTTATTTTTATGAATTTATTTATCAATTTATCAAAAACATTTCTAATATTATTTCTAGTCGTTGCTATTGTAAAAGGCAAAATGTAGTCTTGCCCGAAGAGAAACAAGCAAATACTCGGTGAATTGTCCAGATACCCTGCGGAGAAACCCTTGCTTCTGGAAACGTTCCCTTTCGAGCCACGTGTCCCTAAAGAGGGGCGTGAGGCCACCTTCGGAGAAACGCGCGAAACTCGCTTCCAGTACAAAGCTGAATATGTGTTTGGAATCAGGAAAAACTTTTAAATCACAATTTCTAAGAGATATTATCCTCTCTTCATATGCAAATATCAAGTCACAATAACTACTCGTCGCGCATGCTTCCGAATGAGAACATTTAATTTTAAAAAAATGACTTGTATGGATCGAAAAAAATGGGGCGCTCGGAGAATTCTTTTTGAAGTGAGTAAAGATGAAACACAAAAGAATATTGCTAAGTAAATGCACATGTGAAAAGCAGTAATACTACTTCTAGATTTTAACCAATGTTTTTACTCTGAAAATAACAAGCAAGTAAGCAGCAAAACATTGTTTAATGTGCGTTTCAAGACACCCCTGTAAGGAAAAAGGGACGCATAAATGAAAAAAGCATATAATCGAAACTTCTGTTAAAGAATGTCATATTTATACTTTAACTACAGAATTTTAATATCAAGTTGTTATTTTTCGCATATAATTTCACTATCCTGCTTTTAGTTCGCTTAAAAACTATTTATGTTTTCTTTAATATTTAATTTTTAAAAGCATTTTAATTTTAAAAATCAAGAGAATTCAAATTATATACTATTCCATATACAAATCAGAGAGACCATACATTAATTTCAATTGCCTATGTGACTAGTGCTTTTTTTAGAAGCATCTAAACATAGATGCAGACTTTAATTTTCCTTAAAAGGGGGGGGGGAGACTCTTCCAGCTCCGTTTGATGTATTGTTTTATTAAGCATCAAAAGCGCAAAACGCCAGCAATC